GGAATTAAATTTTGGGTATCCATAATGAAGGTTCAAATGCTGGCCATTTGGGCAGTAATTCATCTACCAGTACCTTTTCTTTTCTTTTTCAATTTCTTTTTTTTTTTTTTTTAGCTGTTATCTAAAGCTCTATATAAATAGAAATTTAAATATCTGTATTTTTGCAAAGTCTCTGATTCAGGAACCTTAAATATCTAAAAATTTGCAAATATTGTCAGGAATAAATTCCATGAAGATTCCTTTACACAGAAAATTGTACAAAAGACTCCTCTGAGTTCTTTTAATGTACTGATCACTGTTTTAACACAACTGTTTGTTTTAATTTTTATCTCGAAGATCTCTGCATGTTTAATTCAAAACTGTTAAAATTGGCTGCCTCTGCTAGTCCTTAAGCCTTCCTGCTCTAGTGTGTCTTTGCTTTGCTTTAACTGCCTGTAATACTTCTCTGCTTCATATCTGCTTTTATTGGCTTGGCACAGTCACATCCCAAACTTCCCCAGTTGTTTTTATCTTTATAGTTCATCTACTTGTTCTTCGTGTGTGAGGAGATCTTTGTGAGGAAGCCTAAGCAGAGAAGAGGTGCCAAGAGAAGGTGTGGGTGTCTGGTGCCATGCATGGCTTTCACACCTGGCTTCTAGTTCAAACACATATTGGGGGTAAATCATAGCTCTGACATTTTGCCTTTCTTCCAACACCTTTAGGAAAACTATAGAGCCAAAAAGTTGCATGGGAACAGAAACTGTTCAATTCAATCCACTTCTCTGAAAGATCCAAGTTTTCTAACATGCTGTAGTGACCTACCTTTTTCTGCATAATCATTATCTCAGGAAAAATAACCTTCTTTCCCTCTTAAAACAACCTTGAACTCTAGAAAACTTTTTTCTGGCCTGTTTTATTTTTCTTAATTAGCAGCTGATGAAATCACCATGTAGTTCTATAATTATTTATCACCTGAGGGACATCCCACTTTATTCAATGAAAGTATTTTAGGGAACATCTGACCTTCCTGTATTTTCAGGTATTATTTTCTTTTCTTCACATTGTTCCTGATTCTCCTCTGTGCAGTATTACATGGCATGTGATGAAGTGGCAAGGAGGGAGAAGGGCACTTGGCTAAAGGAAGCCCTGTGGCTTAGCAAGTGGAAAGAAATGTTCCTCTCCAAAGCTGGTTTTTTTTTTCATGTTGGTCAGATAGATAGGAGAAAGACAGGAATAAACCAGTCTGATTACTGGTTATTTCTAATAACTGATTCTGCATAATTCTATTAGAAATTTTGTGCTGTTTACACACATTTTCCCTCTCATACTTGAGTGTATTTTCTTCAGCATAATGCATTTTTCTAAAATTCATCCAGTAGAGGTGTTGCTTCACTTTGGCTTATATGAAAACAAAGAATCTTTATGCTGTTCTGCTAGTTAAAGGGGATTAAGATCTCTTTATGCGATGCTGTCACATAAGCCCTCTGCACATCAGGTTTGGACGGAAACCAAAGTAGGATACAAGATTTAACCTCAACAACAGATTTTTCCTCAAAAAACTTGCATGAATTACTGGAAAATATTTGCTGCAATGCTAAGTGCTTTCTATTTTATTTCTTTTTTCCAAAGAAAATGCATTGTGCTGTACTCACAGGCTGAGAAAACTTAATAAAATATCTTATGAATAAATGAGATTTTTCTTTGGAATAACTGAAGATGTAAAAAGTAATCAGTTAAGATGTAACTGGAAATGTGACTGGATGCTTACTAGTGCAAAAGCCCTTCTTTCATGCAGACCTTTAGTATTAGATTCCTATAAAGTGTGTAGAATGAAAGTGTTTGTCATGCTGAGCTTTTTTCCTAAAGTGATCTCAAAGATGAGGGGAGGGAAGTGGAAATGCTTAGCATGGTACAGCTGACACAAACTGTTAGTCCTTATATCTGCATCAAGAAAAACTACCACCCTAACTTGCAATACATTGTTTAAATAAATATTGCCTTTATTTCCTTTTTTGAAAGCTGTGAAAGCACTTAAGCCTGCCCAATGTTGTTGGCCCAAGGAAACACAGAAGAACTGGAAATAAAAAGAGATCTGTTAAATAGCTTTCTAATATAGAAAGTGCTGGCTAATCCTAATAAGAACCAGCCAGGAAGTGAAGTATTATTCCTGACTCCAGCCAGAAGGAAGGCAGAGGTTACCAAGCTCACACAGACAGGTAGCAGGGACTGGGACAGGTGTCTGTGAGATACAGATATTGAGCATTCAGCAAGGAGCCCATAAAAATCTCTCATTCCTGCCCCTGCACTCTTTCTCATTATGGACAGCAGATAAAGCAGGCCTTTGCCATTAAATCTGCCCATTTCTCAGTCTCTGGAAACAGTTTTCTACTGCATTTACTTTGAGGACTCCCTTAATCCACCTCTGGTACAAATTTTCAGAAATAAACTATTTTGTGTTTTTTTCCCCTTAAACTCTTTCAGCATTTGGAAAGCCTCTAAACCCTAAAAACAGTTTGAAATTTAGTATCAAAATCTCCTGCACTGCTTATTAATGAACTGCAATCAACCCCTTTGTACAGAGAGCACAGAGAGCAGATAGCAGAGAGGGCAAGTCATGCCAGCAGGCCTCTTGAATTGCTCTCCAAGGAAAAGGAAGAGTAGAGGCACTATAACTTTAATTATGGTTCTCTCCAGTGTTAAACTTTGCAATTTTGTTTTTAGGTCAAGTAATTGGTTTGGCAGGAAGTAGTGGAACAAACAGGATAAAATCCTGTTCTGTTAAATTGCAGCTTATATAGAAAAACTGCCAGGTAAATTACTATGTATTTTGGATGCTTGAAAGGATTAAAAGTTAGTGCTAAAAAGAAACATATCCAGAAAAAATGAATAGCTCTAGTCGAGAATAATTCAAAATGAAAAATAGAAGTAGATATTCTTTGAGCTGCAGGGAAACAGGAGTTCTGGAAAGATTTAGACCAGAAACCACAGCAGTATAATGAGCATATGTCATGTTATGGTGCTTTTTAAAAGTCATGGGGGGGGCACACTGAGTCGAAAAATTTTTCAGTGAGAATGAGTCACTTCATATTTATTCCTGAAATAACTATGTTAAGAATAGGATGCTTTCCTTTGGTTTTCATACCTGAAGCCTGTTGGTAGGTTGGAGGGCAAACTGTAACCCTCACCAGTCTTAATAAAGCCAACTTTTCTTGCCCTAAGATTAACATACTTAATAAAAAGCCATCTACCAACTATGGCTTACATTTGACTAATAAATTTTCACTCCATGTCAAGACCTCACATCCCTATTATGGTCAGAGCCCATCATTCTAATAGAACCATTTTCCTTGGTTTTAGGACCTCTCTGAATTCACCACTCAATGCAGGCCACAGCACCAGTGGCACAAATGATCATTTCCTGATTTATAATTCCCTAAAGCAAAACAGACCAGCAGCTGCAGTCTCTGTGTACATGGCTGGGACAAACATCAAAGAAGCAAAGCAAAGGTTTCAGCAAAGACTGCTTTGCTGTCAAGACACACCTGCAAGTTTTTAGGCAAGAGAAACAAAGAATTAAAACAGATCCCCTGATCTAAGAAAGCCACAGTTGAAAAAGGATGGAAAATTTAGATATCAAAGTGTTGCTGATTACCAGTTCCTCTGCTGCCAGTGTTTTGTGTCTGTATCAATAGCACCTTCTACCAGAAATCATCTCACTGATTTTGTGGGGGTTCTAATGAGCATAACTGGAGATAACAGATTTTAGTGCTTAGTTACTCCTGTTGTAGTACATGAGCATTCACCCCTCCTGTTTGTGGTGCTCCACCAAATGCTTTGACAGTCCCTGTGGTCTTTTTGCAGAGAGAAAGCATGAGAACTGTTTTCACATCTTCATGTTATTTCAATGCAACTCTTTAGAAAATCCTTTATACAGAACTTCAACTCTAAGCCTTATTTCCAAATGAAAAACATCAGACTGCAAGGATCATGTTCTTAATATCCAAAATCTTAAAATATTAGCAACTTTTTAAAAATTCTAACATTTTAATTCTTAAGATACCAATCATTTTCCAGCAATCCAAGGCACATTCTGGAATCCAGTGTGAAGCTCAGCACATTTTTTTGACAAGGATCATAAAAGTACTCAAAACAGTACTCAAAACAACAGAACACAAAGATCCAAGATGTTGCTAATTAGTTTGTGAGGCTTAGAGCTATTTTGTATCTGTTCAATATAACATTTCAACAAGGAAAAAGACATACATACAGGGAGTCACGGGTGTTCTGGCTAATAACTGGTGGCAAATAACTCTGAGATGCTCAAAGAATTATTTAGTGCATAGCCCCTTTGCTTTGGCAGCATCCTTTCCCATTCCAAAATACTTGTGTGGCTGCACCCTGGGGTGGGAAACAGGAGATGACCGCGGACAAATGCAGCAGTTTCTTTCTGTAGGACAACCACAAGATTTCCTATTGCTGAGCTCTTGCTACAGCTCTAGCCCTGGTTATGAAGGGTTACACCAAGAAGGATAATGCTTGGTGGTTTGTGACAAAATCACTGCTGCATGTGTGGTACCTGCTGTGATTTGTGTCACCCATTTGAACCTCAGCCACAAAGCTGCACTTTTTACCAAGGATATTTGTGAATATGTAACTGCTCTGAAGACATATGGCCAATAAATAATTCAAAGTTATCTATCTTTCCTGCAGTTTTCTTATCCACCTACCACCTTTTAATGTTTTGTTGGCCTGGAAACAATATTGTTTATGGCACTTCTAGTATAAAAGTGTTGCTGACTGGCAGCAGACTATTTCCAGTGTGATACCTTAAAACAAATTGGTTCTCCCCAGTCTCCATCTGCTTTGCTCCCATCTGCTATTAGCCCAGAGAAGCCTTGTTTTGCATTTTGAGTGCCAAAAACTGTTCATTTTCAATTATTGATTCAAAAATTGTTACAATATGATTAAATTTGTTATTCCTTTTTCTCTCCCTCTCCCCTACCCCTTTGTTTTCTTTTCAGCTCTATATCTATTTACAGTCCTAAGGAGAATCCTAATGCTTTTGACGCTGCTGCTTTCTTCCAGTCAGTGGGAAATTTTCTGGGCATCTTTGCTGGATCATTTGCCATGGGATCCTCTTATGCTGTTGTCACAGCTTTAATATCCTTTATGGTTGGTTTTCAGGGAGAAAATCTATACATGTTGGAAAAAATATCCAATATCTGAGAGTGACCATCTTCAGCTTGAGCCTGAAGCTTTGCACTCTAGACTCAAGTGTTTGTAAACAAACAGACAAATCATAAATTGATAAGAAATCTCATTTGCCGGAATCTACAAATGTCTTTTTTACATTTACCATTAGGCAGGACTCTGGCCTTTATCATCCTATTTATAAACAATTGTACTTTAAAGAAAGTGTTTTAAAATATTTTGATGCTCAAACATGAATTTATTAAGAGCGGCAACTTATTTATGAACTCCAGGCTAGCAGCAATTATAGAAAAGTACAGGGGAAACTCTACACCGTGTCAGTGTGTCCAACAAGCCCATCAGTTTAACTAAGCTAGAAATGAAAGGTCTGTCTGTTGCCCTTTATTTTTTCTTGTGTTTTACAGTTCATATAAAACGCTACTGTAGAATCACTGATTTTGATCTTTCTTGCATTCACACAAGTGTAAACAAATGCCAGTTTGTTTATAAAACTGGAAGAAATTGCTTCCTTTTCCTTTTTTATGGGAAAAAGAATCAAATGCAACCAACTAGGAATTAATTCAAACTCCACAAAAGTACTTAAAAAGCTTTAAAATCTGTTCTGGATTTTTCTCGCTAAGTTAGAAACTGTGCAGTTTTTCCCAAATTCAACATGTGCAGATGAGTATGCCAGGGGAGCTTGCTTTCTTTCATCCTTTCTCAGAATGGGGGTAACTTTAGCTTACGAAGCAGTTGGGTTTTTATTTTTCCTTAGTAATCTTTTAGCACTTGACAAAATTTACAAAGCTGTGTGAGTTTCCTATGTTGGAGACAGGTCTGTTTTTCCTCCTATCCTGGAGTGCCTTCTTATCAGCAGAAGCCGCTGGGCTTACAGGTAAGTGTTGCATTTAATTAAATAAAAACAATCTTATAATATGCCTCTAGTGTGGGTAAATGAATGGTTTATTTTAGGTATGACATTTTATATAAAGGTTCTAAAAGCCTGTTGCTATACTGAAGATTGTTTCATTTTTAAGAACAATTCTGTAGTGACATTGGATAGTTCTTCCAGACAAAGATAATAGGTCATGCTCAAGTCCTCAGTCTTTCTTCCCTGCATTATCCCATCCCTATTAGTCCCCCTATTAATCCCCCTATTTTCTAGCCAGCTATGGAACCAAAGATAACAGTAAGTACAAGGAAGGAAATAGGCAGTGCCTTGTGATTACCAGACTCTGTGCTCCTCTGCACACACTCCATATCCATTATGTTTTTTCCCGATTATCAATAATTAAGACAAATTATCAATAGTAAACCAAGAACAGGGCCAATAGGTTGCATTCACCTTTGTACTTTGGGATAAAAAAGGTCATGTTCAGTGCACCTACATGTACACCTTTGGCACAGCCATGCCCCAGTGACATGTAGAAAGATGTGTGATCTGATTTTTTTTCATTAATGCCAGGGAAGAAACTGTACAATCACAGTCAATTATGTACCCAGGGCCTCCATTAAAGTGTACACAGGAGTTTAGGCAAAATTTGTAAATGGATATAGTTTACCTCCACAGTAACCTATTGTATAGTGTGATTCAAAAGAACAAAGTTTCTATGACCTTGATTGTTTTAATGCTCTTGAGGTTGTCACCCCTGAAATCCAGTGCTCCAATTAATGTCAGGGAAAATCAGGAGAAGAAAAATGCTTAATGGATCGGTAATGCAGCCCATGCTGGTTTGTTTCCAAAATTGTTCAAAGCCTTTTGAAGACAACAGTTATATTTTTACTGAGATTTCTGGAGCCAGCATGTTACTTTTTTAATATCAGCCACACAATCAAGCTATTTCTGAATGGGTATTAATATCTGCATCTTTGCCTTACTAATTATACAACTTTGCATCCTGTTTACTGCCAAATTCTTCAGGCCAATGAATAAAAACAGTGGTACATGAACTGAACAAAAGGGTATTTGTTCTTGATTTGTTTCTTGTATTTCATTACATCAAGAAAATCAGATACCAAATGGACTTTTGTCTCTTAACAGCTCTTACTGGTTTGGGCAAGGTAGCATTCATTTTCTTCACAACAGCTAACGTGGTGCTGGGAACAGCACTGGTAATTCAGGGATATTTCAGGTATCACTGAGCAGCACTTATACAGAGCCAAGGGATTTTCTGCTCCTCACCCACCTCACACCCCCAGCAAACGGGCTGAGTGTGCATGAGAAGCTGTGAGAGGATGCAGCCAAGAGAGCTGATCCCAGCTGACCCATTCCAGAGAAAGAGGAGCTGGAGGAAGGTTTCTCACTCTTACCCTTGTCATTCTCTCCCCCTTCCCACCGGGGAGGAGGGAGAGAGGGAGTGAGCAGCTGTGAGAGTCTCAGCTGCTGCCTGGGGTTAGACTTAACAAGCTCTTAAAAACGTGGCATGAACACTACAGGAAAATGGAAGCAAAGGAGGATGATTGTTGATCACTTGCCTGCTACTGGAGGTACTGATTTCCTAATCCAGTAACTTCCAAGTAAGGACTGCTTTAAAATGCATTCTTCACAGAGCACAAGGATTCTGTGTTTCAACAACTGAACAATCAATTATACATGACACACAAAACGTAGATTTGTAAAGGAAACACTAATATCTTTCAGAGACTTAGGTGGTACACCAAAAGTAATTTCCATTTCTCAGGCACAGGAACAGACTGTATGTCCAGACAAAAATAATTGGCGTATGTCTTTTTTACATGCTGCAAACATGATGATGGACAGCAGAGTCCCTCCTGGTAATTACCCTGAAGAGTGTTTCATTGCTTTTTTCTGCTGTAATATATAAAATATCTGAAATAAAACACTTAATTATTGAACACCACAGATGGTGGTGGTAGCCATGGTAAGGAATTTTAAATGGATAGAGGAGGAGAGTGGAACCAAAGCAAAGTTTCAGTTTAAGGGGAAAAATAGAAAATTGTTGGGAAATTTAACTAATTCTTATCAAAATAACTGATAGAAGAAAGATAATTACTTCACCAACACATATATTCCAATAAAAAGTATCAAACACTTTTAGGTCTGTCACTAGCATTTTTTCATGGATATTTTCTCATGGGTTCTGAGTTTCACAGGGAAATTGTTTTATTACACTGTTGTGAGAAGGCAAAGTGTAATCTTGAAACTTTTATCAGTTAAATCTTTGTCACTTAATTTCTATAAAAGGCTTTTGTCAGAAGCTGTTTTGAAAAAAAATCATGGAGCCCTTTTTGTGGCTTCAGAAGTTCAAAGCTGTGTTTTATAAATGCATTTACTTTATTAGTACTGTCCTGACATTACCCTTTAGTTGTCTGGCTTAACCAGTTTTGATGTTGCTTCTGTCTTCTCTGTTTCCTCTGAAATAGCTCAAACCCCCCTCATTTCAAAATATTATTTTAAACTCCAAGTTCAGCAGCAGAAATACTCTCTTGGTTAAGAAATTTTCACCAGACTTTGGTTCAGCTCTGATTTCTCATACCCTTGCTAAGGAAATCTGTGCAAAATGAAGTTGTGTGCAGTCCCCACACAGGTGGGTACACACAAAGCACCTCTTGCAGAAGGCAGGGAGAACCCAGAAAAACTCAGTCATGCTCCAGGATACACTCAGCTCTTAATCCCCACTCTATCATTCCCATTCTTTTCCAGCTTTCTTGCTTTGTCCTTTGTCTCAGTGCATGCAAGTTCTGGTTTTACAGCCGCCTGTGCCTGTTCTCAAAGCAGCTGTGAGAACCCAGAGAGCCTCACTCCAGAGTGGCACAGCTGCATCGCTGCCTTCTGTGGACCACACTCCTAGTGTTGACATGCTTCAAATATTAACTTGTTCCATTAGACACTTATGCCTACATTCATCTTCATTTTCCTTGGATATTGTGTTTTCTCTGTTCATTCCTTCTAAATGAACTTCAAAGGATTAACACTAGACCAGTGCTTCCCTGTAGCTATTAAGTAATGTAATTGCAAAATAATTTTATTCTTATAATGCTTTCCACAGCAGTCCTTCAATCATTCTGAGCTTTTTGAAGTGTAATATTGAAGTATTTCATAATTTAGAAATAAAATTGACTATACTGTTTTTTTTAGTGGGTAAAGTAGGTGGTAGGGCTCACTTGTTCAGCTTGCAGATTTCTAAAATAAAATTTAAATGGAAAGTAGTACGGGTCAATATTTTAGAAAATATTTCATTCCTCTGCCTCAAGATATCCCATGATATATAACACAAAATAAATGGGCCTGACCCTGGTTGAAAAAAAAAAAAAAAAAAAAAAAAAATCTGGGATGACTACACAGCTATTGTTATAGTGGGAACTGAAAATTATAAATTAATGTTATGGTTATTAATCTTATAGCTATATCATCAAGCTGTGACATATGCATGATAAATTGATTGTTATACAGTAGAACCTAATTTGTGCATTTTCTCATTTGCCCTGGAGTATATCATTCCTGACTGCTGAGCAAAGCTGTAATAACAGAATACTAGAGTAAGGTCACTGTTAATAGAGTTGTTTTCATTTGCAAAGTTCATTACATAGTATTTACTAGTAGGCTATGAAAAAAACCATAAATAATTTAAATTAAACATTTTGTTGAAATAAATGAGGAAAGTACATACTGTATTTATTAATTGCTTGTTATCTTGTTTTATAATTAACAAAATTTTCTAAATTCTAAATGAATTTCTCAGTCTGAGAAAGGTTCCATTATGTACATGGTCGTCTCACTTAGATTTTCTGTATCTACACCTGTTTAAAGTGACCAGATATTCAAATAAAAAGAGATTCATTTACCTGCAGAAATACACTGAAGCATATGTATGGGAATTGACTGGTACGTATGTGTTCATTTGATGCAGACTTCAAAGTCACACAGTGACTCAGTGTAAAGGCATCAAAATTGCAGCCAAGCTCCTCTGATTTTTACACAGTAAAGACCTATGAAGACAAAAAAGACAATAGACCTTGAAGGAAAAAATTGTTGGAGAGTGAAATTTTTGCTCCTTTACTGGTTTTCAGAGCCCTTTGATTTCTGATCATTATAAAGCAAAAAGCTTGTGATAATAAATTACTGCTGCTTCCTCACCTTCAGCAATTCTTGTTTGAACATTTTGTGATATTTCTGCCTTTGTGACACCTGCCTTCTTATTCAGGGGTTCACAGGAGAGCAGAGTCTACCTAGCAGGAAAGCTCTTCCTCCTTTTCCTCCAAAAAAAAATAAGCAGCATATTATGAATGAGGTACCCAGGATGAGTCCAAAGATCTGATCCCTCACTGGAGCAATTTTGTGCTACCTTTGTATTTAAGACATAGCAAGAGTGAATGTCACCATCTTCCATTTTCTTTAATACTGCTGACAAAGTGCATTTTTCCTCATGCTGTTCACTTCTATCTGTTTGCTGTGATTTGTCTAGAATCTGTCATCTACCTCATTGCTTTTTTAAAACGTTGTGACCAGTTCTTCTTGTGACACTCTCGAAGGGATCTACCAAAACATTTCTGTCTGCTGTTCTGAGCACTGTGAGTCCAAGGCAGTTTGGTACCTGATGGGCTTCAGTTCACTGAGCTGACATTATTCTATACAAGAAAGATATTCTGGGCTTTAAATTCTAAATTGTGTGGTTTTCTTCTCTTTATTCATCAGTAATGTGCCATGCTGTGTCACTCAGAGTAGGCAGACTCCTGCCAGTAAGGAGGGAGAAGGGATCTTTGGCTTCCAGGTCAAAAAGAAAGAGACTGCAACTCTTGTGAGCTCTAGTTCTGCCACTTCCAGGAGCACAGGATGAAATGTAAGCCTAATTAGGAAAACAATAGGTAAGAAGATGGCATTTGCCCTGCTGTGCAGAGACAGATGAGCTGGTCTGCTGCAAATCCATTACTGGAGTCAGGGCTTGGGTCTGGTTGGTTTAGGGGCTGCTGTAGGTACAGTCTTCTAAGGCAGTAAGGAAAAACAGAAATGTGTATGTTTTGTCTTATTTCTGGTGCAGAGGTTCGGGATAAACAGGGTAAGCACTCTTACCAGTATAAAAGCTGTTATATGTCACCACAGGAGTTCCAATGTAAATTGAATTCACCAATTCATTTGGGGTTACAAAAGTAGAACACTGAAGCCCAGGTCTCACTTGAAGCAGCCAGGTGCAATACCAACAAATAGTCCTCAGATAAGGGCCTAAAAAAATCCCCTCGGCTCCATCTCTTGATGCTTTCTGTCACTTCAACATAAAATCAACCACAGACTACTCCAGAGATAAAAGGCTCATGAACAAAGCATGAGCTTTGGCTCTGCATTGGTGCAGTCCTGGTGTAAGAAGCCTTAAATCTTCTCTTTAGTATCAAGAAAATGATTAGTCACACTTCATACCCTCAGTGAAAACAGCCTGGATTGGGATATTGTTGCCACTGGGTGTCTGGGTTATTACCGCAGCAATCTGAGGCAGACGACAGCCTCATTTCCTGCCACTCACACATTCAATCTGCATCCCAAGAGATGCTGTGCAGATTCTGACATAAATATGACTCCAAAGTAAATGTTATCTGATTTAAATAATTTCACTTTTACCCAATCCTCATTGTTCCTTTTTCCACGCATTTCACCACCTTTGATGAAAGACCAGTTCCGGCTGCTTTACTGTGAGATTTCAGTATGTTGTGTAGGTTTAGAGAGGCATTCCAGAAGCTCTGGAAACCTTCAAAGTTGGGATGAAAACTGGTCAGTTTGCTTACAGATCTTTTGAAATGAAGCTATTCTTTTTATCTATTCCTTTGCTCCCTCAGAATGTAGCAGTTTGAGGGTTTTCTTTTTCTAAATTACTTTTTTTTTACCACCAAAAGACCTGACAGCTCGAGAAAAATGCCTGGCTTAGTCTCTCAAATTAGCAAATTGTCAGGTTTTGATTGTGGCCACTCAATTCCAGGTTTGCATTTAAACAACTTTGCACATGCTGCTTTTCTCTGACATTCCTTTTTGCATGTTTGTAAAATGATGTAAAAAAAAAGATTTTGTCTTTCATTGACAATATAGGAGCTGTTTTCAGATTAGCACTTGTAAATTAATACCCACACTAGAATTTTAAGGCTCACACCATCAGCAAAATACTGTTAAATATACAAGTTCCTATACAGTTGCTATATTTTTTCTATTACTAGCTTTTGACTCAACAACCATTTCAACTACATGTATTTGTAAAAACTAATGTATGAATAAGTCCTCTAGCTATATTAACAGCTAACAAGCTGTCTCAATTTCTCTGTTACAAAAAAAAACACAACAAATAAAATGGTAGGGTTTTATTTCTAGTAAAACCTCTTCAATTAGATTGATCTGTAGCTGAAAGTTTACTAGTGATATAAGCATTTGTCTGTGAAGTGTCTCATGTTTTATATTAAGAAAAAAATCTCAGTAATCTGTTAATAAACATAAGGAGCTATATTGCAAACAATTTACCACCTACCAACTCAAAACACTCCCTGATTACTTTAAGTTAGCATTTTGCTCTGCTATTGTAGTACTGTCTCAGTAATTTTGCTGCTTAAAAAAGCAATGAGCAAGCTGTCTCCAACTGCCTGAAATTGAGGACAAGTAAAAGGGCCACCTTGCTTTATCTGCCTCCCTGCATCTAATGGATCCCTTCTGTTTACAACTCCACTATTTCCATATTTGCTCTTACCTGTTTCTCTGTGAAAGCAAACCCACAAAAACAACCTCATTCTGCGCCATACTCTGTTCATACAGTATTTTGCTACCCAGCTAACTTCAAAATCTAGCATTAATAGTGCTACAAAGAAATCCAGATTGCTTTTTCCTTGTAACTAAAGAGTTCTGTGTTTGTCTCTTCAGGTACTTCTCTTTCCTTTTCAGTTAATGTGTAATTGGTCATTACTCTTAAGTAACCATTTTTATGGCTATTCATTACAAACAGTTTTCTCTAAGCCATTTAACTATTCATTGTGAGAGCCACGGCTGGTACATATTAAGCATTCAATTGTAGCAATTGAAATATTCTACTGCATTCCCCCAGTCTTCCCTGGAAACAGGGTATCTGGTTTCTACACTTGCATAATTGCATGGTTCAGTTCATTTATTCTTACTGCAAAATCAGATTTAAGCCATTTTATTCTTCATGACACTCTCAGTTTTCTCAGTACCCATAATTAACAGTTTCTTAGCAGTCAAAACCAGTTTATAATCACAGCTGAATTTAATAGTCAATTTTAAAAATGCAAGTCTTGACATCCTGATGATTAATAGAGAAGAAACTGCATCAGAAACTCCATTTCAGTTACTGAGCCTGGATTTGGTGATACTTAGCAGCATTACTGTTTGGCTGTATTTTTAACTGAAATGTTTGAGCACCCCAGTGCATATTATTAATGCCTTGAGAAATTTTAAACTCACCAGATCAGTTCTGCACAACCAAATACAGTTACTGAGAAAAAAGAATCAGATGCATTTATGAGAACAGTTAGACCTCAAAAAATATAAACTTCCTGGAATGTGTCAATCTTACCACACCCCACATTATTTACCATGAAGAAAAGTCTTAGTGTAGCTAGAAAAAAAGTAAATATCAAAACAGACCTAAGAAAATAAATATAAAAAACAAAGACACACCAAAAGCTCAGTGGAATTTCTCTCAGCTAAAGAGTCAGTGTTCTGTAGAAGCAGTACAGGTAAATTTACAATATAAAGAGAACCCAGAAGCAAATAAAATGTCCACAGTGGTTTGTGGGGAAAAAACATGTATTTGTTTCCTTGTTTTCTTTCTGATGACAGCTGTTCCTTGTGCCAAATCAAATCAAAAATTCATACTCCATACTTTTTTCATCCATCAAAGGCATATTAATTCCAGGCCTCAATTCTTCCCAGAAAAAAGAGAGGGGCTTGCAAGGAAATTGGATTTTCTTGGCCAATATTTTCTTGGTTAAGAATATAAGGAGAGTCTAAAGAAAGACATGGTAAGGTAATGATTAACTGGTATGTGAGAATTCACAGATCACACAAACACAGTCTTCCCCAAATGAAATAGTTTCAGTACTGTCTAAATTATGACTTTGGTTTGTTTCCCATATCTATGCTGTGGTTCAGGGCAAGAGGATATTTCACCTCCCTCAAGGGCCCTCTTGCTGCTAAAATTCAAACATTTAGAGATATGGATAAGCCTGTTAAAGAACCTGTAGAGGCACCAGTGCTTGAGGCAACTGACACGTGTTCTGTACATTCCCTTCCATTTTTCCTGGGACTCCAAAGCCTGGCTTGCTCCCATTAATGCTTTTCAAGTAGCAGATTGTTTATATTTGGTTTGCTGTGCTAAAGGAGCAGATTCTGCCTCCTTACTGACCCCCTTCTTACTGACCCCATAAAGCCAGGAGAGTCACCATCCTGGAGGAGATGGAGGGAGCTTTATCCAGTTTCCAGTCCAGGACTGGAGGAACAGACTGAGATTCTTTTCACCATTCCACTTCATGCTCTTTGCTTCCAGTAGAACTGGTTTATATGTTTCAGTTCATGCTTGTTTAACCCCATAAATGCCTAGAAAGCTGTAGCACAGTCACATCACAAGGATGAATAGTGCCTAAACCTGGACAGGCATCTTTCTGCTTGCTTTGTTGCCTCAGACTCATCAGTATAATGCCAGTATATGTGAGCAGCCTGGGAGCTGAAAATGATCTAGTAATGTTTGGAGCAGCCCTTGAAGAAGCAGAACTAAAAGGCTAATTAGGGCATGCTCCTGCACAGGAGGCAGCGAGGAGAAGGGCTGAAAGGCATGAGGATTAAAGCACTGTGGGGTGGATGGAGGAAAACTGTGTACAGGAGCCCTGGAGATGCCCAGCTCCCAGTGATGCCACTGCTCTGTGCACACCCCACTGCAGGGTTTCAGGGAATGATGATCAGAATGGACACAAGAACCCCTGAGCTGTTGTGTAAATAATTATCTATGTAGACAAGCCCCAAGTTTAAGAAAAAAGCAGAGATTTCTTCCTCCATGGGCATTTACATATGGCTACTGGTGGACACTATTTTTGGTTTTCTGTTTTTTTCCTTATGGGGGTTCCTCCTGCTTTATCTGTGTCCAGACCTAACAATCTTATCAGCTACTTTAATCACAACACTGCACTACAGTGATGTTACTCTGTGATTCTAGTGAGTTAGCACCAGGGCCAAAGTATTGAAAAATATCCCTATAAAACAAATTTGTTACTATTATTCCTGGTAGCCCTGCTTCCCTGCCCCTCCAGACCTTCCACAAGCTGGGACTATAACTATAACATGTGTCTACAGCCACTGACCTGCCTGCTCTGGGTAGCACAGCTTGCACCTGCTAGAGCTTCACTCTCAAGCAAAGTGGTGTTGTTCACCTTGACATTGTTACACATTGTTTGTGATAAGTTACAATCAGGCAGCAACTGCAAGTATTTTACACTGTTGCATTCAGTACCAAGTGGTCTCAACCTATTTAAATGCAACAAAATTATTTTTTCCTTCCCTATTCAGTCCCTGGCAATTTTATTTTTTTTTCAAATAGTCCAAATTCCTACATATTACAATTAGGTTAGTCCTACAGTTAAAATTACAGTCAGATTATGGTTGGATCATGCCACCATGTATTAACTGAAACAAATTTTCTACAGCCTTTGAATTTCCAAATACACAGCAGTGGAAATGCTATGAAAGCATGATTGTCCTTAGAACATAGATCTCAAACTTCGTTTGTTATAAAAAACTGTTAACAGACTAATTTTCTTTTTTATTCAGCCTTTTACAAGCCTAAGTAAGAAAACAGAAGCATCTGACTCTGTTTTTTCTCTGAATTTCAGGTATTGTTGCTGTCCTTTTCTGTGGAGTCACACAGGCCCATTACACCTACAACAATCTGTCACCAGATTCCAAAATGAGAACCAAACAGGTAGGACATGGAAATAACTGACATCGTGTCTTACACTGGTGTAAGGAATAACAGCTGCTAGAATACAGCTGGATGGGATTTCATTGATGCAAAGCAAGAGCCTTATGTCTTCATCAGGGGAAAGATGGGAGATTTTGCCAGGAAAACAGTAACAATTACCAGGATAAGCAAAAAATATGAGAATATAAGAATCTGTTCTTCCTAAGAGAGCTGAAATGTCAGACAGGTATGGAGATAACAAATTACATCAACTTCCATTCAAAAATGCTTCAAAATTAAGGAAAACAAAGATCTCTAGTAAGAAAGAAGTGGTCTGAAAGATTGGATTCCAGTAGATTTTTGCAAAGGGATTGTATAAACTGCAGTCTGGCCCACTGATTTATGCAAAGATCTAGTTTAATTTCTGTTTCATTAAAAATTGTCGTATTTACAAAGATTTTTCTTTCCATTTTCTTCTTTCCATTGTGTTATTTAGAGTTTAGAAATGTGAAATTTGATCATCTGGTTTTTGTTTGAACAAGTAACTGGTACAATTGTAATTATTTTTTAAAGCTTGGGGCTGTTCTCAGATCTATGGCATTGCAGTGTTCAAAACGCTTTTCAGCATAAGCAAGTTAGTTCTAGTAAGTTAGTAAGTTTTAGACAACCCTGCCACTACCTAGATCCTCTAAGAAGTGATTTAAATACAGGTTTTTTTTCTCTCTTAATGTTGATTCATATATCCCAAGAACCCCAGGTTGTAGGAAATCTATCTCCTAGAACAAAATGGAAACTTTTGGCCCAGGACTATCATTCTCATGATGCAATCTCGTACCATTTTCAGCAATTCCTTTCTTTTAAGCATTGGAAATTTTACATAGAAAAATTCATCACTTCTTGCACATCTCAATCTAATCAAAAATCCAATTTTCTACCAAAAACAGCTTGATAGAAAAAAATACTGGCCACAGTATCAGATCAACTGTTAGAGTCTCACAGATTTTAAATCACAAATGAGTTTCTGGTCAGTAGTCCCGTAATAAAGTGTTAGCTATTGAACAGGATAAGTCTTTTCAATTGTATTTCTTCAGAGCAGTAGAAGCTGATGCTTTCAGAAAGTATTCCAGCAGAGAACTAACCTTTCTCTGATAACTATATTGTAAGGGAAGGACATTGAAATCTACTACAGAATTGTTTCTGTTTTGCAGAAAGACTGAATTACATATGCCAGTACTCCCCTTGCATATAACTTACAATTTGAATAGAAGGCTTTTTCAGGGATTCATCTGCATGTTTTAGTAATGCAGAGCTTCAGAGAGAGACAGAAAAAGCCAAGGTTGTGTATTTTTAATTACCTATAAAGCTTTTCAGCTGCAGAATTAACTAATAGTTTGTTTAAATGCATCCTGGTTTTGTTCATGTTTATTGTGTTATTCCTTTCTATTCAACAAGTGCAAAACGAAATAATGAAAATAAACCAAATTCACCCTTGAACACACAGAAAAGGGATTATGTGTTTCTCTGTGGAGCTATGAGTTTTATGCACACTTTACTATTCTGTTTTTCTCTTCCCCATAAGCCCTTAATCCTCAGCCTCTTTTATGATATGGTTCAAACACTTGTTGAATTCCTTTGAATTCTTCTAATTTATTTTCTAATCCAAATATTACCCTTTCATATGCATCTGTTTCAGTGAGACCTGCACTGCCTCTTTCTTTCTCTCCTCCCAAGAATTCTCTTCAAGCAAATTTAATAAGCCACACACTTGGCATTCTCATAATCATATATAACTTCAGTGCATCTTCAATGAATATTGTTGCTCAGACAGTTGGCTTTGCTCCCGATCTAAGTCATTTTTATTACTCATTACTGGCTGAAATCAAGGGCTTTTCAGTTCTTTTACAGAATTATTCCAAAGCAGTCTCTCTCTTTTGTTACAATATGATAGATCTTTCAAAAAGGATTGCTGAACTGTAATGCACACGGACAAAACGGTGAGTTAAGGCTAAAGCTGAAGCTAACAAAAACCATGGAAATTAGATTTAAACTGTAAATTAGATTGCAAGATTGTGTTAGCTGTTTTTAAACAAATACTTTTTCTTTACTGCTTTGCATAATTTTCTTTACATTTTTTTACTTGCTTTTAAAATTTTAGAGCTTGATGGTAAAATCCAGTAGGCAGTGATAGAGAAGGTATTTCTGACCCTGGTGCCAAGTTCTGAATTTCCCATAATATATCATCATTTGCTCCAAAAAAAATAAAAGGTTTCTCTTCAGTCACTGATGTAAAATGAGAACTTATCTACAGTTCTTAAATAAAAATTTAAGAACATCTATTAAAAAGACCTGATAAAAGATGCCATGTAATTATTAGTCCCCATGTATCCTTTATTATTCCATCAATCACTGTTTAAGATTCCATGAAAGAGAAATATTAGATTTCAAGCATCTGAAACTTACAGAATCTGAAATTATAAACCAACATTAATTTTCCACAAATAAATGAATTATTTTAACCCTCTCACAAGAAAAATAAGATAACAAAAATTTACTGAAAATTGAGGGGTTTAGATAGTTTTCATTCAATTAAATTATCCCAATTTTCATTAAGTATTTATAAACATTCTGTGTGTTTTTACTATCATTTCTTTTAGCATGGGTGATGTTTTAGGGCAGTAATTTTAAGTCATCATCATTGACCTGACAACCACCATCATGATTTTAACAGTGAGATTGACCCTGTCCTCCATGGCAACAAGGTTAGGTCTAACAGAGTGCTCCTGAATTTCAGGCACTTAAAGTTTAATTTATCCAATGTATTTTTAGTGAAGGAGAAGATGAAACTGCTGGGATCTGATCGAAAGCTATTTGATTCTGAGCAGCTTTCTCCAGAATTATTTACAGCTGCTATCTTCCCTCACGTTGTGCTGCAGCCAGACAGTTGCCTCTAAATCTTGGGACACCAGAGCTCAGATTTTACATTAGACTTCAGATGTTAAGCTAGGCTGGGTTGATTTGCTCTGCTGCAAGTAAGTCAGTGGCTGGGCAGGGTGCAGTGAGATCAATAGAAATCCCTGGTTTGTTAAAAGTGGGCAGAGTGTAAATCCCCACAGGTCACCTCTACAAAAGGATTCATGGATAAGGCTGTGTTTTCTCCAGGAAGATGACATTCCTTGCCCTGTTTTTCTCTCTGTCCTCTACCACTTTCACTGGTATGCCAAGATGAGCAAATTTTCCTAGTGGTGGCGTACTGACTAATGGCCATAAATATTATCCATTCTACTTAGGAGTTGTAACTTTTTTGGTTATGTTCCTTTAACTCTGGGGAACTGCAACAACGAGAGTGGGGCAGGGAAATACCTCTTTTTGGTTAAGTGCGCAAGGGTATGAAGAATTCTCTTTGCAGACAAAATAGTGTCAGCAAGTTAGAATTTCTGGAAAGGGAGTTCTGAAATGCATCATCTATGAAAGAAGACACAGGGAATTACAAGACACAGGAAAACATGTCCAGCCAACAAGGGAGTATGTCACACACTGCCCTGCCTGTGTCCAGTCATTCCTCAGTCTAAGCTGTTTTCTCAGGTCTCCTCTGAAACAGGTGTGTCTAACTGTTGGTGAAGGTTCCCTTCTCAAATTAGTTGTAGTTGCCTTTCTAATCACATTAGGAGTTAAACAGTTACTCACCTGTTTTTAGCTCCTGAGCAAACCCATTAAGGGAGCAGCTGCCTTGGAGAGAGAGCTCCTGGTCTGATTGTTCAGCTGCACTGGGCGTGCTGTGTGCACAAGATTCCAAGTTAAGATTTCAGTGGCCCTTCACCTCCAAGGCTTAACAAAGGTGGGAGAATGAGGTAAAGATACACCGAGAGAGCTCAGTGCTGCTTAACTTGTGAGTAACTTTACCAAGACATGCAGTCTCACTCAGAGGCTCGAGCAAATCGGTTTGCACTGGAGGACTTAAAGTTCAAACTGTTCTTGGGCTTAGCTCACCGATGGACATAGTGCTGATTGCTTCAAATTTTAATCTCCATACTATAAAGCAGACAGGATTATCTCTGATTAATAAAAGTTGCCACTTTGCAGGGGAGCAGCTAATATTTCCTGGAAATCTCTGGAAAATACATGAAGTTTTCAAAATGTTCCTAGCTCATTGATGATGAAGCTATATATCTTCCAACAAGGACAGGGATCAATCCCTACTTATTTACTATTGGATCAGAAATTAAGCTGCATTCCAAAGACACTTTGGTGTAAAAGGATTATGTTTTTAAGCCTATTAATTTAATTCTAATTAATCACATTATTCAAAACAGGTTGAAAAAACAGTCATAAAATATTTTTTTAGTTTCTCAAAACTGCAAACCAATCTTTATAGTCTCTTGACCCTAATATGTTATAGTATAATCTCAGTATAGGCTTTAGACTTAGAATAACAGAATCACTGAGGTAGGAAAAGTTCTCCAAGACCATTGAGTCCAATTGTCAACTGAATACCACAACTACTCATTTTTTGAACACTTCCAGGGATGGCAATTCCACCACTTCCCTGAGGAGCTGTTCCATCTGTGATTAGGGACTCACTTTAGAAGCAAAGTAAAACAGTAGAGTAAAAGTACGGCAATGGAGGTGTCCAAATTGACTGAAAGGGGAAAAGAAAATAAATTAATCAAAGGAGGGTGACCTGAATGCCAACAGATAATGTTTACTAAAAAGACCTTTGCAGGACTAAAGGTAGAGTGTTGACTGAAGTCACTGTATCCAAATGGAACACCGTCACTGGGATTTCGACATTCTACTGCTTTTCTGCTGGCCTATGGCTCTTGTAAACCAGTTACAAGCAGAACTACAGCCAGCACTGCAACAACAAATCTCCTTTCTCTGGATACATGATACTTACAGGATTCTCCCATCAGCTGTCTTTTGATAAGAAAATAAATAATGCACTGCAAATTTGCTTTAGTAGCAGAACGATTTCTCCTGAGTTTGTTGTTAGAAGCACCTGCCAGGAATTGCAGCTACTGTTG